AACACTGATTATGTGTCATGTGGAAGGTAGGCTTGCCGCGATAGACTGTGCTAACGGTGATACCGGTGTTAAGCCGCAACACCAGTTACGCCACTTGCCGTGGCACTGACCCCCACCGTCGTTTTGAGTTTTTTTAGTAATAAAAATCATTTAGTTCAGTAAAAGAACAGACATTACAATTAAAAACTGAACGTGGCTGCTCAATGCAGCGTGTCGAACGACAGATTACCGGTGTTGTCACACGTCGATTAACCGGTGGGAACATTTCCTCACCGTCACAACCCTAGTGGAAGGTCAATTTTCTGACTTCATAGATCTAAATATGTTCTTTTTGTAATGGAGAGGATGATTTTCATTCTTAAAGTCACAGTAGTGTTTCGTAGCAATTCAAATCAGGGCTAGGCGATATAGCTATAGAACAAACTCTGGTACGGTTGATTGGATAAACCAATGAATGGATGAACTTAGCAGCACACATGTGGTTTTGTTTACAATTTCTGGTTCACTTGCAAAAAGGGCAGTGTGAAAGCGAACCACACCAAACAAACAAAAAAAAATCAACATTGTATTTGGTCCGGACCAAAGCAAGTGAACTACCAGACTTTCCTGGTGTGAATACACCCTAAGATTTATATCTCAATATTTTATATGATGTTCACAATATTCTGTCATTTTATATCATCAGCGAAATTATTGCGATAATTCAGTGTGTTGTCCAGCCCTGCTTTAAACTTATTCAAAAAGGTTGAGTAAAATAGGCTATAACACGAGGGCTGTGCGATTTAATGTTCTCACGATATGAAATATTTTTCTTGGAGTGTTTCAAAACAGAAGCGGAAAGCCCTTGTGTGTCTTCCTTGGGAGACAGTGAGGTCACTCTCACCTCTTCCTATTGGAATGACCTGTGAACTGTGCGGCTTCAGTCTTCCTGTGTCACACTGAAAGGAAGTCCTTTGTAGTAGATGCTGTTACACATTCTCAGCTACGGTCTCAGTTATTTTTGGCTTAAGTTTGAAATGTCTCCAGATTGTATGATGTAATTCATGAATAGTTTCATATATGGTAATTATGGAATTCAGATTTTATTTTGTGTCGTTCCTAGGGCCCGTTAATAGCATTGACTTGGGTGTGTCTCCTCTGTGTGTGTGTGTGTGTGTGTGTGTGTGTGTGTGTGTGTGTGTGTGTGTGTGTGTGTGTGCGCGCGCGCGCGAGTGCAGGCATGTTCATCACAAAGAGCCATTGCAGAGTGAAAAAGAGAGGCAGAGAGAAGGTTGTTAGGCTGCTGCTATCAGTATGTGTCCTGTGTGGGCACTCACAGATCAGGTAGAGGTGTTGGTGTTGTTATTCAAGGCCGTAAACTTGTCTTTGATTTGTTTGGCCCTCTCAATCATTTTGACATTGATGAGTGCTGTTAGATCTCTGAGTCAGACCAGCATTTTGGCCATTCCTATCTAATAGGCGAGACTTGTGCCCCTCAATGTTATGGCCTTGCTACAATGTAATTTCCACCACATATTGGATTATGTATTGTGCATTTTGTGGTGGTGAAATAAAATGAAATTTTAAATATGGAATAAATGGATAGTGCTTTGCAGTCCTCCATCTCGTGTGCCTACTGACGACAAAAAAATTTCATATCAGTTGAGTTCGATAATTATCACAGATTTAAAATTTTTATTTCTTTCAAGTTTAAAGGCTGATGTTTACTCCTAAGTGAAAGTTGTAGAAACCAGGCCATTACTTGTGGGTTTAAACTACTCTTTATGGTCAGAACATGACAAAAACTTTTGAATTCTTTACACTTTTCCAGCCATTTTTCCTTAACAAAATAAATAAATATCCTAATATAAAAATTAATTCCTTAGTTTCTTCGTTCTAATGAGTGATATTGTTTCAAATCATGAAACAGGTTTGTGTTGCCTGACTTTGATGACATGTATCTTCAGCACAGTTTGCAGTGCAGGCTGCAATATTAATAATATACATTTTTTTTCCTTTTAGAAATGCACATTAGACAGTAGCTTGAGTTGACAGTAGTAGTAGCTTTAGTTAGGATGCAGATGTAAATTTATGTTCATTATCAAAAACAGTAACATCTGTAAAATTGCAACAACTTCATTTTTATATGGTGAAATGTAATTATTCTGACTGTTTGAGTTTTATTAAAATTAACTGTTTTGGTCTTCCATAGTAGCATGCATTTAGGTCACCACAGTTAAAACCACACATATACTGTATACCTTAATACCATGGTAAAAATGTAACTACTGTATATGGTTTCTAGGTGTTTGTAGGAAAAACAGTAGTATAAATACATTTAGTATAAATGCACAAATGCTATAGCTTAATCTAAAAAATACTGTAATTATATCACATTACTCCTTTAATACATTTAATACATGTCTAAATTATTAATATAAAAATTGACTTGAATATCCCACATTTGTGCCACAATACCATGGTGCAATTAGTGTTACTACAGTGAATCCATGATAAATGATGACGATTTGTAGATTGAAAAGCCTTCTGACTGTATCGTTGCACACAGTGTTTCTCCTGTTTGTCAGCGCTGTTTCATCTGGCTTTAAAGTAGCTTCTGTCACCGAGTCATTTGTGTTTTTCGCTGAATTCAAGCACTTCACACCGGATCTCACAGAGCTGTTTAGTGGTCGTGTGACCAAGACTGATCAGCGAGTAAACACATCTGCTCTAGTGAGCTTGCACTGCGCTGCCTTTTGAGCTTTGAGCTGAGCGGATAAATGGTCCATGTGGTCCGGTTCAAATCAGTAGCGCTGTTTAGTTCCACCTTTGGCGCATAAACATTATATTGAACATTTATCAAACTCTTTTTATTATTTTATCAAGCAAAATTATATCTTGATAATTATTGTTGTTATTTTATTGATAAGGAAAAAGTGGGAAAAATGATAAACTCATGTCAGGAGGAGAAGCCAACTCCTGAATAAAGAGTTCAAGAGCTGAGGAGCTTTGGAAGGCCAATCCGCAGTCCAGCAAGGCTCACTGCGAAATGACGAGAACTGTGGGTACCTATTGCAAAAATAGTCTTTTTGCTTTGGCAGCAGAGATTCTGATGACACCTCATCTCAGTCTGCTGCTGTTTGGGATGAGGATGTTGATTGGAGTACATAGGATGATGGCTGGAAGGAGACAATCGACTGTGCTGGAAAGCTGAAGAGCCAGTCAAATATGATGTGCCCACTGCCTAAGATCTCCTGTAACAGCGTAGGCTGCAGTGAATGCTTGGACGAGTGGGATGACATAAATGCATTGGTAAAGGCAAAGATGGACACCACACATTGCCTTTACCATTTTTAATGTCCAGCAGCATGTCAAAGCCACTAGTGAATGCTAGGATGAGTGGGATGACATATATGCTGTTGGCTCTTGGGATGACAAGCTGGAAAGCACGTTAGAGAAAAAAAGGCAGCGAAGAAACCCTGCAGGCTCATAAGGCATCTTTATCTTTTTAACCTGTATTTGTAATGCAATTCTACACTGTGATAATACTAAATACCGTTATATAAGTTTTAGCAATTATCATGATATGAAAACTTTATACGTCACACCTACACAGAAATACACATGCCTATCTCATTCCAGTTCCATATGACTTCAGAGAAATACAAGTAAAATTTTTAATCATATTGAATTATATTCGCATGCTCTTCCCTATACAATGAAAACATGCAGTGACAAGGTGCAGACAAGTCCAAAAAAGCACCATAAAAGTGACTTAAACACTATATAGCATGTCTTTTTAAATGAATATGATACCTTTTTGTTCATAACTTAAAAAGCTAAATCATTCTTTACAGATAATTCTCCCCTCTGCTGTAGTTTTCAAATCTTATTTGTGCATATGCATATTTAGGCTTTGTTTAAGTGAATGCATTTTCATTTTAAAATGCATTACTTTTGCTATGGTTATGTCTGATGTCCACACTTGAAAACTGAGACTTTTGGAAACTTCCCGTCAATGACTTGTATGAATATGATGTGTCAGGTTAATTACACAAAGATATTGTATGGCTTTAGGATAGTTAGAAGATGTTGTATGAGTCATATGGATTACTTTTATTGTACCTTTTTGTCCGTTTTAGAGCTAAACTGCCCCCTAGGTACAGTCTGCTTGCACTGTATGCACATTCTTCAAAAGTTCTACTTCTGTGTTCCACAAAAAAAGTGATTCAGGTTGGGAACATCATGAGGGTGAACTATGACTTTAAGAAACTGAAACGGTGAGCCTGCTGCTTTTCTAAAGCAAACAAAATTAGCCTTTGCAAAGCAGACAACTAGCATTATGTAAATGACATGGAAATTCCATGGTAATGGAAATTTGCATCGCCATCTATTGTTGCGTCACCCAGCTGACCTGCAAGTTGACGACAACCTTAGCAGAGCAAGACTTTTTAGTCTCCATATCAGTTCCTGCTTTCTATTTTGCAGATGTTCAATATATGAAGTATGTCAGGTTGTGTTGTTTCTGTTTTAAAACAACACTTGTTGGCCTTCATGGAATGTTTTTGGTTTCAGCTTCAGCAGGTTGAAATGTACAGGAGAATGTTATCGATGCGATAACTAGTTGGTATGTGGTATTTTGTTGGTCTTTGGACAAAACCCTCCTGTAATCAAACTTCATAATAACACATGAAGAGAACAGGGTGTGCTTTAATGTGCTCATTTTCATAGCATGAGTATCACCTTTTGTACTGGTTCTTTTAGATGATCCAAGGCATTTGACTTTGCATTTGAGTATGTCCCCAAGAGGTTTAACCTATATAAAGGTATTCAAATGTATTTGAAAACTGTGCCAAGCCCTGCAAGTGCATTCTAATAAAGCAGTCTAACACAGTGACTCTATAGCATGTCTCTTTTATAACAAAATAAAGGCTCTTTTGCCATCCTTGGGTATAAAACATGCATCATGTACAAGAGTGTGCATTGCCTTGCTGAATATGCCATGTGTCTTTATGTTTCAGATGGATTGAAGCGTGTTTAAATGAGGATCTCCCGCCCACCACCGAGCTGGAGGAGGGCCTGAGGAATGGCGTGTACCTGGCCAAGCTGGGAAACTTCTTTGCTCCTAATGTGGTCTTTCTCAAAAGAATCTATGACCGTGAACAAACACGCTACAAGGTAAGACTGAAGTTTTCAGAAGCACTGATATGAAAATAGCAGACCGTTTGGATTCACTTGTTGCTTTCTTCTTTGTCCCACTTGTAGGCCACTGGGCTCCATTTCAGACATACAGACAATATCATCCAATGGCTGAATGCAATGACAGATAAGGGCCTCCCTAAGGTGAGGAGTGTAGATGGTGAACACGAGTCTGCCTGCTTCTTTCATTAGCGGCATTTCTTCTGCTTTATTGAGTCACTAACATGATAGAGCTTGCCTCTGAACCTCTTTCCCATGTTTGGCAACAATGCTGCATTCAATCTCATCAAATACAAATACATGTACTTGTCTCTCCCTGTCAGATTTTCTATCCTGAGACAACAGACATCTACGACAGGAAGAACATGCCCCGCTGCATCTACTGCATACATGCTTTGAGGTACCTACTATGTCACTGTGGGCGTATTCACAAATCTCTTGTTGGGGAGAAACTAACCAAAAGAAGTGTTGCTAGTAGCTTATACATGTTACAGTAGTTCAGTTGTGTTCATAATAGTAGAGCTTATTCAGTTAAAAAATGTTGTTTTTGTCTGTCGCGTTGACTATTGCCACAGTTCTACATGCACTAATTAAAAACTAATCTAATTAAACTATTCTAAATGGTTCTCATGCATTTAGCGGTGGGATATTTACATACAACCTCATTCAAAAGTTTGGGGTCAGTAAATGTTTTTTTTTTTAATAAATTAATTTTATTCAGAAAAAATTGACAGTTAAATTATTTTTTTAGTGTTATAAAAGATTTTTCATGGTTTCCACAAAAATATGAAGCAGCACAACTGAACAGAACACAATTGATAATAATAAGAAATTTTTTTTGAGCAGCAAATCAGCATATTAAAAAGATTTCTGATGGATCATGTGACACTAAAGGCTGGAGAAATGGCTGCTGAAAAGTCAGTGTTGCTATTATAAGAAAAAATTTAACATTTATATTTAACATTTTTTAATATATTAAAATAGAAAACGGTTATTTTTTAATTGTAATATTTCACAATATTACTGTATATTTAATCAGATGATGCAGCCTTGGTGAGCATAAGAGACTTCTTAAAAAAGTACCAAACCCAGACTTTTAACGGTAGTATATAAATGAATCTGTTTTAGTGACTCATTAGGTAGTCTATACATTTAGACATTTCCTGTTTAGTCTCATAAATTTTAGTGATTTTCAACTTAAATGAACCAGTTCACTTTGAGCAAAATAATTTCTGAATTAGGGCATTTTTAGTGTTATTAGTTGAATTTAGTGTTATTTCATGGGTTGAATGTCTTGTTTTTGTTGCAAATAAACACCTGCTGCCTACAGATATATAACTGTAAATAACTACTTGCAGTTTCAAAGTAGCTTCTCCAATTCAAGTACGATATGCATACATTTAGACCCAACCACTCTTTTTTTTGAGAAATTAATCATGGATCAAATCTGTGTAGATTTAATCTGCGTCTACACTCATCTCAAAATGAATCAGTCAGAATTAATGAGGAAACCTGTTCTGGTTTCTGCTGAGGCACTTAACACGAGGCTAGAGAATCCTGCCATTTGTAACTCTCACATTCCAGCTCAATGCAGAATTGACACTGGGCCCAAAGGCCATAAATCTGGCCTTCAGAAACAGGAAATAACAGCATTCAGGGGGCAAGAATTTGTCAGAGGCCTGGTGTGGGGTGAGGGGTACTAAATCCAGTTGGTTTTTGTAGTTGATATTAATGAAGGGATGTGTGTTAAACTTGAAAGCCATGCAGATAACATCTGACTCTCTTTCCAGTAGTGTCTTTTCCCGCACACACCTATGGAATAGGATACCTGTCCTCTGGGAAATTTGTTTCTCATATTCACTTTGTTTTTTTTTTTCAACAGCCTCTACCTGTTTAAACTTGGGCTTGCGCCCCAGATTACAGACCTGTATGGCAAGGTCGCCTTCACAGGTGAGTCAGCTCGCTGTAGTATCGTATTGAAGCTTGAGTTTGTACAGTAACAGCTGGAAAAGCCACTGTTCCCGGGAGCTGTGGTCAATGTGAAAATCATTATCAATTGTATGAGCGTTTCCTGCCATTTTGGCTGGCCTGAAACTGCCTGCCAAGTCCATGGATGGAAAACATTATTTACCAGACCTTTTGAGAACAATGTCCAGCCAATCACATCAAAGCAAGGAAAAATGCATAGCCAAGATTACCTTCCAAAAGGTTACCATGCTTATTATAGCGTGACATTGCAATATTTATCCAGAACCTGTCCAGTACACTTTCCACAGAGCCAAATAATCTCCATTTTTATGTTATTTGCATATTGTTTTTGTCTTTACAGAGGAGGAGATCAACAACATGAAGATTGAATTAGAGAAGTACAACATTCAAATGCCAGCATTCAGCAAAATTGGCGGGATTTTAGCCAACGAGCTATCAGTGGACGAAGCAGCCTGTGAGCACTGTTTCAGCCTCTGCTTTTTAAGTCGAATCACTCTTGGCTTTTTGGCACAACTCCTTGCCTTGTAAACAACTAGACTTAACTTGGACAGCCAAGAGTTTAACAGCACAGTAATTACGATCTGTTTTACATTGCTTTGAGCTCAAAAGATGTGCATTATCTTCTGTTGCAACGATTCAGTGCACGCTGCTGTTATCGCCATCAATGACGCCGTTGACCACGGAGTCCCCGAGGGCACTCTAGCTGCCATGAGAAACCCAAACGCCATGTTACTGCAGCTGGATGAAAGCGCTGCCCAGCAGTACCAGGACACCCTGTTCCAGGCCAAGACTGAGAAAGTGGCCAGCTCCCGAAAGAGAGTACGAACTTTGCTCTACAGATAGCTAAAAATAAAAGATTTGCTATATTTGGGTAACTAAGGGTGTATTTTAATATATGTACACACTATCTCTGTTCCAAAAGTCAGAGACCTGCCTAAGTAGATAGCATTTAAGGCATCAGAAGTGTGATGTGAAGGCTGTTCTAAATAGACAGCATAATCATTAAATAAAATGCATGCAAATTTATAATCAGCATCAACCCTGTCTACAATCTTCGATAAACTTCACTGACATGGTCAGATAACTAATTTTGACCAAATTCAGGCAACATGGCATGTGCCTGTCATTGCTTTGCAACAAAATCACTGAAATATATGCAGTAGACATGCTTGCATTTTATTCAGTACTGCAAAGTATCAATAACAATAGCCCCATCTGATAAAGAATTACATAAATATGCAAAATGGACTTTTTAACCCAATATTTATGCACGCTTTGTATTTTTTGTTCTTGTAGGTGTCTTTAGCTTGGCAAAATTCTTTTGTCAGATTAACTGTAAGCGTTAGAGCACTTTTTGTGTAGACCAGTCAGTTAAAAACTACTGCTAATCAGTTATTTCAGTATTATTTTTATACTATTATAGTATTCATTAATATTATAAAGTAGCTTTTATTTTTAGATTTTTTCATTTTAGTATAATTTTGGTAACACTTTAGTATAGGGACAAATTCTCACTGTTAACTAGTTGCTTTAGTAGCATGTCTATTATTAACATATTGTCTGTTTATTAGTATTTATAAAGCACATATTATATCCCTAATCCTACACAATACCTAAACTTAACAACTATTTTACTAACAATTAATAAGCATCAAATTAGGAGTTTGAGGCAAAAGTCATAGTTAATGGTTTGTTAATGGCGAGAATTGGACTTTAAAATAAAGTGTGACCATAATTTTTAGTTTAAGTGTTAGTCATATTGCTTATCCCTTTTATTTGTCCCCCCCCGAATATTTCTATTAAACTTTAATTTATTTTCCATTTTAGAACTTCAACTTATTTTATTTCAGTTAGTTGGCAAGGCAACATTTCTAATTAAATTTAAGTTTTTCATCTCTTTTTTTTATATTTTTGCTTTCAGCTTTTGTCATTTAACAAAAACAATTTTGAATAGTTTTAGATTTGGTTAACAGGTGTGTATGAGTTGAAAACTAGTATGGCTATAGTGGTATAAATGTATGTTTCTTTGGTAGATTGGAGAGAATGCTGAGGCTGAAAGGGATGTTTATGATGAGCTGCTCACACATGCTGAAATCCAGGGAAATATCAACAAAGTAAATTGTACGTACCTCACCCATATCTACCTCCAGTTGTTTGTGTTCTTCTGAGGTTGACGACGTGATCTGAGTTCTCTGTGTTTGTGCTGTTTCTCAGTGACCAAATCCTTGAGTTCAGCAGAACAGGCGCTGTTGAGTGGTGATGAGGACAAGCTGTATGACGCTCTCCGTTCCCCTGCGTTAGGCCTGCAGTCAGTGCAGGCTCCGAACAAGGCATGGTACCTCAAACAGCTGCTGGCCGATCGAGAGCAGAAAGAACAGGTAACAGGTTCTGCTACTCAGTGGGGGAAAAACAGGGTTTGCTACTCACATTTTGGTACACTTTTGTACCACGGTTTATATTTGTGCCTTGGAAATTTTAGATATGAAATGCATATGCGTAGTGTGGTGTCTCTTTTCAGAGAGTCCCTTACTGTATAACAGCATGTGTGTGACAAACCCTAGGGCTCAGCAGAAATATATGCTTGTCATGGTAACCATAATAACAGCAAAAACAGTTTATCCTGAAATAGCTAACGTACTTAGCTATTAATTATTTTTGTTACTTAACCCTAAACTATTGAATGTCTTGTTGAATGTTTTTGGGGTGTGTGATGCTAAAAACTCATATTGTTTATTAATTGCCTATACGTCACAATGATCTTTTTATAGAAACTATAGAACGGTCCGTAGCTGAATATAGCTATATATATTCCTAGAAATATATCAATTTTACAAAATGTATCTTTTTGTCTGTAAGAAAGTGTGGTTTATTTTTTTTCTGCAATAACACTTCCATTCCGTTTGGGGTCTGTATTTTTTTTATATTTTTGAAAGAACTCTCTTATGCTCACCAAGGATGCGTTAATTCGATCAAGAACAGTAAAAACAGTAATATTGTGTCATATTAATAATATTTCAGATAACAGTTTTCAATATCCAGTTTATTTTGAAATGCAGTTTATTCAGCAGCCATTGCTCCAGTCCTCAGTGTTACGTGATCCTTCAGAAATCATTCATATATGCTGATTTGCTGTTATTATTATCAATGTTACAATTAGTTTACAATTATTATATATGCTTAATGTTTTGTGATAATTTCTACGATTATCTGATTAATAGAAGGTTCAAAGGAACAAGTATTCATTAAAAAAAAAAATCTTTCTACATTATTAAAAATTTTCAACAGCAAACGAAAGGTGAAAGGGATTAAAAAAAAACTGTAAATATTGGCACTAAATATTAGCAGTCAGACTTACATTGGCCATTACTTACAATGTTAAAATGTTGCTTATCTGTGTCAGCTTCAGAATTCCTAATCATTGCATATAATTGCATATAAGCTGTTAATTCTAAATTCTATAATCTCATCACATTTGGCTTGTTTCATTCTTCCTCATGCCTAGAATACCCCAGGAGAGCCTCTGATGAAGGAGGAGTTACAGAGTGGAGTAGATGCAGCCAATGTGCAAGCAGCAGACTATCAAAAATGTATGTACTTCTACATTCTTTTGAACCCGTGAGTATGTGTGTTCAGAGAACGGTACATCAGAACGACGCCAGTGTTTTCTTTGTCTCTCTTTTATGTGTTAATTTATGCTGTCCTACAGCTGTCATTCTTTGAAAAGAACAATAAGGTGTGTGTGTGTGTGTGATTCAGTGCTGCGGGCGGTGGAGAGGATTAATGCTGCCATAAGAAAAGGTGTAGCAGAGGAAACAGTGAATGAACTGATGAACCCAGACGCCCAACTGCCGCAGGTTTACCCTAGTGCTGCAGATCTGTACCAGAGAGAACTCTCCAGCCTGCAACAACAGAGTGCAGAGGTTAAAACACACTCACATCCACACAATTTCAGCTCACTCGGTTATTTTGCTGTCACCATCCCTCTATTGAGACATTAATTGCAGAAGAAAGTGAGCTGCCTACGGCCTATGCAGACAGCTGCCTTATAATGCAGCATCCTAATGGTCATGGCCCCCAATAAGTGATCAATCTGAAATTCTCTACAAAGGCACCAGCTCTTGATTTCGGTAGAATTTAGCAGTTACATCTTGCCAAGCTAATGTCATGATATTTTAATAAGAGCATCAAGCTTACAATTACATGGCACACAAATATTTAGTGAAATGTTCTAATTTAACTTGAACTATGTGAAACAGTGACCCGTTACTATCATTGATATTTCAGAATTTTTCAGAATTGTAATATTGTCAACAAAGGTGTCGCAATAAGGCAGTGTTGGCAATAACTGTATAATGATACAGTTGATAATAACAAATGATATTATCGACAAATGATAATATTGTAAATAATTGATCACCAGTTACACCAGTTGATACTCCAACATACAGTAGGTGGCGATATTGCTACCCATCATGAAATGGAAAAAAGAAAACAATGGCAACGCAGTTTGTAGCTACTTCTGGTGCACAAAATCATGTTGGAGTAGATGTTTACTTGAAAGTATGGAAGCACGTTTCCGCCACTGAATAAAAAATAAAAAAGGTAATTGCGACTTTTTATCTCACAATTCTGACTTTTTTTTTGCAATCGCAAATTATCAGAATTGTGAGATCTAAACTCGCAATTTTGACTTTTTTTCTCAGAATTGTGATATAAACTTAAAATTCTGAAAAAAATCCAAATTGCGAGATACAAAGACGGTTCTGAGGAAAAAGTCAGAATTTTGAGTTCAGAATTCGCAAGTCTGACTTTATTTCTTGGAATTGCAAATTTATATCCCACAATTCTGACTTCATATCTCACAATTCTGAGAAAAAAAGACAGAAGTATCAAAGACAGTTGTATCGCGCTATTGCGAGGAAAAAAAGTCAGAATTGTGAGAAGTTGCAATTACATTTTTTAAAAATGTTTATTTAGTGGTGGAAATGGGCTTTCATATGAAAGCCTGCTAAAAAAAAAAAAAAAAACGGGTTGGTGATCAACAGGTTTTTGTTCAATTTTGTTTACAAATCTGTTTCTGCCACCCTGCACTTGTATGTTGAGTGTGATTGATTGGCCAAAAAGCAGAAAACATAAAAAAACAAAGTTGAAGATCAATTTGATAGCATTGACTGATGTTTTTTTCTTTCTTTCTTTTTTATAGGTTTCACAATAACATTATCACAAATTATTTTGTAGTAAAAATCTGATACCATGATATTATTGATTTCTCTCGCCCTGGCTGACATCTCTTTTCACTTGAGTTTGTCACAATGAATTATGGGATTGCCTTCTCTGAGATACATATGATGCTGACTTCAGAATAGGTCAAGTTATGCTTCTCAGCATATTTAAGTTGCTCACCTGTGCTGCCTTTGTAAGCAGCTTACTAGGTTTTTTGAACAGAGCAATAATTTACATACAGTTTACATAAATTGACGACCTGTAACCGTTTAGTGTAGTCCTGAGTGATTTTCTTGCTTTGCTTGACTGCACAGGGCTCTTTGTCACATCCCGAGCTGCTGGTTGCCGTGGAGATGCTGTCCTCGGTGGTGCTGATAAATGAGGCGCTGGATGTAGGGGGCAGGGCAGCAGTGTGGAAGCAGCTCAGCAGTACCCTCACCGGCCTCAGCAATGTAGAGGATGAGTATGCCCAGAGGTGAGAGTATGGGACGGCTCAGAGTGAGATGACCGGTTGAAGTCAACATGCAATCGGAATTGGTCCTGTTTACTTTAAGACACATGCCTGGTCTTATCTTGCATGCTTTATCAGTGCATGTTATTCTAAAGAAAAAAAATCTTAATTTTTCATCAAATTACAATAGCTTACTCCGCCTCTGAAATGACTTTCAGCTGAAAGTCACTGGCTGCGTGGGCCATTGGATTGTCAACTATTAGCCAAATAGCTATTTGGTCACTACTTTACCTAACTCTCATTCAAGTCTGGCTGTGTTCTTGTATTCAACGCCCACTTTTCATGACTTAATCAGTAAAATCAGGTCTCGTACTACTTTACTTTTTGTTTTTGCTTAGAAATATGCCAAAATATGGAAGTAAAATAGGTTGTAAATGTCAGTGTTGATTTATCTCCTAGTTTTAGCCACTGTTTGTTGTTTCCCTGCAGGTATATAGATGAGTTGATGCATCTGAAGGCAGCTGCGCGTGAAGAGGGTGGTGACTATCTCACCTGGAATGACATCCAGGCCTGTGTGGACCAGGTCAACAGTACTATTCAAGAGGAACATGAAAGTGAGCAACACATTCGTCCTAAATATGAATGGAAATGGATCAAATTCAGATAGTGCTGCATTATGGACAGTGTACATGTCCTCTCGCAACTTTAGGGATTGCTGCTATTGGTCTGATCAACGAGGCTCTGGATGAGGGTGACCTACAGAAGACAATGGCTGCTTTACAGAACCCAGCCGCCAAGCTAACAGATATAGATCCATCTGTGGCCCAGCATTACTATGATATTCTGCAGGAGGCAAGGAGAGAGAAGGCCCACGTATGTATACCTTTACAGACCCACAACTATAAGACAGCCTGCACAAAACTCTGCCTCTGCAACTGTAAAAATATCAACTATTTAATACTTATTTTGAACCATTCAGCATGTTGGGCCACTTCCACTGCTTTCATCCTCTCATATCCGATTCCGGTTTTTGTGTAGTTTTTGTTTCCTTCTGTCCAAACACTAATGGAAGTATATTTCAATGTTTGAAAACACAACAGCATTGCGATCTGATGAGGAAATGTAAAACTTTGTTATCGGTCGTTGAATGAGTTTGGTTTATTTGCCCAACAGATGGTGGAATCCCTTTATCAAGGGAAGTCTGAGGTCTGAAAGTGGAAAGAAAAAATGTATTTATTTTTTTCTGATAGAAATTGTGATTTAAAATGTGAGTTACAAAAAGCGCCAGGTTTGCTGTGCTTTTATTATTAATATTATTATTAATAATAACAATAAATACAATTTAAAAAGTATTAGGAAAAATAAATAATAATATACTTTTTATTTTATAGTACTAATATTTATGGCTGTCTTAATTTCATCATTTTCAAATATGAAACCATCACACTTTTTACTGAAAACACTGGATCGTCAGCTGCTCGCGTGTAAAAGAACACAGTGCTGTGCTTTACTGTGAAACAGAGAATGTATTTACACTAAGCAATATCACAATTTCTGTTTTATTTTTATTAATTATGCAGCACAATTTTAAGTCTCTCTCTCTCTCTCTCTCTCTCTCTCTCTCTCTCTCTCTCTCTCTCTCTCTCTCATGCATCATGTGAGCTTCTCTCACTTTGAGCTTCTCATGACTCTAGTCTGATGACATCATCTGAGCTCATACAGTCTCATTCCTCACCCCCATATTTTGTCTGGCTTTTATTTGCCACCTCCCCTGTTCTTTTTATTAGAAAGCCCCTTACATTTTCAAATGACTATTATATGTGCAAACAACATTTGATTCATTTGATCTCTCACACCTCAGGTATCATACACACCACTTTTGCATATGAAAATAGGACATTTTGGTCCTAATCTGAGGCTCACTGAAGAAGTGAAGTAGGTTCATGAGTAGCATATTTAATTTTAATGTTTAGTCAGTGTTTTAGGCCACGCCCCACATGTTTCCTGTGGACGTGAAACTGAAACCTCAAGGATGCAGGTGAATGGACACAGAGAAGGCCATGGTTTACCACAGCAGTGTGCCAGTGTGGTTCAGAGCTGAACTGACATCTCTGAGGCCAAGAGCACTCTTTTACGATGACAGCTTGAGAAAAAGTACCCAGAACAGTCGTTCAGAGGCGTTACGAAAAAACAAATCAAAAATCTGCATCTCTTTTTGATTCACCTATTTGGAAACAGTTCTTGTGAGTTTGATTAGTGATATTTCCTATTTATGTCACTAACCACTCTATTAATAGAGGAACACATGAACAGCAATTTTTGTCTCTTGGACTCATAATAGCTGTCAAAGTCAGTGCTGAACTCATGCTACCCCCCAAAAAAAAACATGGCTGGAAAAACAAAGTGTTTCCTTTCGCCGTGATTTGCACAAGCATCGGAAATAACAAGGCTTATGACTTTTTCTCTGCCTTAAAAGGGCAAAATTCTGGTCCTGTTAGCTGGCGTACCTCAGTAAAGGGTTTTTAGCGCTGACATCACTCCTCCAAGCTTACGCTAGCTTGGGTCACTATAAAGTGTAAAGCACTGCTAAAACCAGATCTGCTCAACTGAAACAGGAAGTGGTTAGGAAAAAAGTTAGATTTGATGTTTTTAAAAAAAATCTCAAAAGATGGAGTGATGTGTGACCTGACAGTAACAATTCAAGACATTTCTGTTTGACTTCAGTAATCACAATTTATGAAAAAATAAAAGTCTCATTCTTGTAATGAGTAAAATATAAAAGGTTAAAAATCACTAATTGTGTTATATTAATGAGCAGTTGACATGAAATACTTTTGGGCAGTTGATGTACAATGGTGTGAAATTCTATGCACACACACACACACACACACTCATACATGCATATATTTATTATATGCAGTTTTTAATGATATAATATAAATTTGGACAATACATGGAATATTTATAGATATTTGTACACACAAATTTACATTATACATCTATTATTCGTATGCTTTTTAGAAGTACACCACTATTTACATAACATCCTGTGTTAAATTCCCTATGTAAGCGTTTCACGATGATCTTTAACAAAGTTTAGCTAAAATAGACAGAAGTAGTTCCTCTTTTATCATTCAGTGTTGTAAACAGTCCCAGAAGAGTTGGTAATGTAATCTTGGACATTACACCGCACCCTTTTTCGCTTCCATAGTTACAGTTGGCAGACTTTATTCACATATTCAGATCTTGATCATTTCTGCTCCACCCCACTGGGACACATGAAGTCCTATTTGCACTCTAATCCAGCAAGCATTAATTTAATACAGCCGATAAAATATAACTCAGTGAAGTGGAGCCTTATCAACCCTGAAGGAACAACGTTTTCCTCTGTTGCACAATTTGCCACACCCTCAGGTTTGCTGCTGTACATTTGCAAGAAAGGCGGGCGGATTGCATAGAGGGGCTGCTGCACTCAGCAAATCAGAGAGCTGCAAATTGTGCTCCGGAAACTGAGCTCGGCATGCGGTCAGGAACTATCATGAGAGGGCAACTGCACCACCTGGTGGTGGTTGTAATGAACCCTTCATTAGCATGTGTTTATCCAAAATGCCCTGTGAATGATTATAGAAGCAGATGCAATTAATTCAAAGGTGTACATTTATACAGGTACCCTTACAGCCAAAAAACATGATCTGCACAAGTCAGTCAGCTTGATCTTATTTATGGCTCTCTGCAGCACTTCTGGAAGGAATTTTCCTGAAAGGGAGTGTTTTATAGAGTTATGTTGTTGAATAATGAAACACTGTCTCTTCCAGTTCATACAGCATTTGTTTTTACTAAATTAACTTGATGTGTTTTTATCCACATCATACTGTACCTGTTAACAGTTAAAACATTATTTAATCGAATTAAAGTGACAGTTCACTCCAAAATGTCATTATTTACTCACCCACATTTCTAACTTAAATCACAATAAACATTCCTCTGTGGGAAACAACAGATGTTTAAAAAAAACTTATTTTGTTCATACAGTGAATGTCACTGAGGTGCAAAACAACACTGGACCCCACTGACTTTCATTGTATAGACCAAAAACTCTTGTTTTTTTGTGATCCTGAGAAAGAAAGTCATACAGGTTTGGAACATGAGGGAGAGTAAATTAAGTTTTGGGGTCACTTTAATTAACTGTCACTGTAATTCCATTAAAAATGTTTTAACTGTCAACAGGTGGACTGTAATGATCTCACTACAGAAGGTTTGACTGACACCTAGTGTCCATATGAGTGTCATTCCTATTTAAATACAAACAGAAATCTAGTTGGAATTGCTTGATCATTTATTTATGTATTTTTTATTTTTTTGAAAACATGATTATTTTTTGCTGTTCTTTTTTTTTTGCTCTGAGTTACCATGGTCCTTAAAAGTCTGCAATTTCAAAAGTGTGAAATGTAGTTCATGTAAATGTAGTTATGCTTAGTCCTCAAATTTTTTTTTTTTTTTTAGCTAGAAATTGCTTATGAATATGAATCTTTAAAATACTTATTTAGGCATCAACATTACTGCAAAAGTCATGAAAAATTGGAAATTAATTGTGTAAGTTATATTTGACTGTAGCACTCAGAACACATGGTTACTCATTGGTAATTTACTTCTTGTTTTTTTCTTGTCTTTACAGGAATGCGGAGATCCTTCTGCAGTTCTTTGGTTAGATGAGATCCAGGATGCGATCTTAAGAGCCAACAAGGACTCAGAGGATGCTCTGCAATGTAAAAATCTTATTTTTCTTTGTGTATTTACTTGTTTAGTATGTATCTGTCTCAGCTCAAATATAAATATGATTCTTGAATAAAAGGATGATTCTTTTTTGAATCTAAAGAATTATCTTCTTTTCCATCTTCAGTCTCTCAGGCGATCCAGTCCATTAATGAGGCTGTGGATAACAAGGACTCTTCTCAGACACTGGCAGCCCTGCGTTCACCTGCTGCTGGTCTGTATGGAGTCACGTCTGAATGTGCTCAGACCTACCAGGATGACCTGTTTCGAATTAAAGAAGACAAGAAAAAGGAAGGTGAGATGGGCTCTTGTGTTGATTCTTTGATATTTGGTACAAAAAAATCTATAGTAATATTTACCATAAAACAAGTACAATTTCTGTTTTCTACTCAAGTTCTAAGTTGAAGAATTTGTTTTAAACTATTTGGTGATATTACAACATGTCATATCATTTACACTTTGTGACGGAGAGAGTAATAGAGGTTTTTGGTAGGGGATAATGACAGTGAATGGATGAAACATTGGGTGAAGGGAAGACACAACTACTACTATAACCTCAAGACCGGACAAGGCACCTGGGAGGAGCCTTCAGACTTTATTCCAAACAACACTCAGCTCAACAAGGAGGAAATACAGGTAAACCTTCATTCAGTATTTATTTTTACAATGTATGAAATCAATCAAATATATTACACCATGTTGTGATATATTATAATATATCTATTAATATAATAACTGTAATTTTTTACAGTTTTCAGTTTTGTTGTTGTTTTTATTTTTTTCTCTTCCTGGTTAACTTACTATGTCTGTGTCTTTTGTAGTCTGTTGTGTCAGGAGTAACCAAAGCATATAACCGAGAACAACTCTGGTTGGCCAATGAGAGTCTGATTGCCAAGCTACAGGCCCGGTGCCGTGGTTTTCTGGTGCGACGTGGAATGAAAGAGCGTCTTGGGTTCTTGAAGTCTCAGGAGCCGTCTGTCACATGCATACAGGTCATTCTCCTCTTGCTTCCTTCACTTAGTCCTAAAGTAGACTCAGGGCTTAAAGTTCTCCGGCACCGTGCCGGATCTCCGGCGTGCGGCGTTTAGCTGCGGGGAAAAAAAAAGATAGTCGTCCTACATTTAAAAACACTTGTTGATATCAGTTCGAGTTCATGAGTTTGCCTACCAGTGTATGAGAGGAACACAGCTTTTACTCTCAACCAAACTAACATTACTTTAGTTTTAAATCAAAAGTTTTTGCTCTTATAAACACGAGACGTGCATAATAGTATCCAACTGCAGAGTCGCAGCTGATGAATGGAAAAGAAGCCTGGGTCTCGAGCGCGACACATTGAAAAACTGCGAGGCGCAATGGTCAAAGATTTCCATCTAGCGTCATATTTACATAGAAAAGCTATTAAAAAAGCAGCAGAGCTTTGTAAACAGCTCAGAGTAATCACGTGATCTCCATAAGAACGATATGATTGCCAGAAT